ATATAACGCGCCAAACACCAATTTTGCGTCATGAAATATTACTAAAATTGGGTCCTTTTCATTGCGACTAATTTGTATCTAGATCGGCAATGAAATTTCTAGTGCTCCCTAAAATTTAAGTCGATCATGGGTTGCGGACTGCGGACTGCGGGCTGCGGAGCACGGAGAAGATTTTATCACATGACTTGCTGCGGCCAATTCATCGGTGCGGCTTGTCCGTAACACTGCATAAGAGATGATATTAATTTTGGTTTTCTACAAAGTGAGCTTAAAACGCGTCAATCACACATACATAAGCCCCTGGAAACGCCATATTTAAAATCATTGATATGATAAACACACATGCTTTTGTTGCTTGTACATTGTCAAATGGAAATTCAGACAATCCTTTATAGCGCCTTTTTCGATTCTTTGTATTATGCTTTTCTTTTGAATGGCTGTAATAAAGGTGTTAAAAAAGGGTTTCAAGGTCACTGGAAATCCTTATTGATAACTCGCTGACTGATCACGGTGTTCTAACTTGTTCGGACCCATGATTGTGACTTCAAGACTTCCGTATCTAAATTTCTGCATATAATTTCGCGAGTTTTGGTGTTAATTCGAGGTCATCATTGTTAACGATATCGCATTGTGATTGCTTTATCGGAAGTGCTGTCTTCTTTCGCCCGTTCAACTTTTTGACATTAACTCATTGACACTTTAACTTGAACACATTCCGTAATTCATTCCACTGTTTATCGCAAGTTCCTACGGTCTGCACTACCAACACGTTAAATTGTATTATTCACGATTCTGACGAGTTATGTTTGTAGACGACAAAGTGCAAATATTACCCATAGTATTATTAACCACAAACATAGCCACTTTTTCTAGTCCTTTTAGCAACCTCTACGGTCTTAAAAGCTTTCATAAACTCCTCTCCGGCCCCTCTGCATTTGTGTGATTTCGCCTTGAAAAACCATTCAGTAAGCCTACACTGCTTTCCTCGCCAATGTCTATACATTACAAGGAATACTCGCACCACAAAAAGCAATTTGTCTAGTAAATAACTCTTAATATTAAACTTTGTTTCGGTTAGAAGTCGAGTGATTAGACAAGTAGTTGTAAGTACTATGAATTGTCCTAGAAGCGAAAATCTGACACCTACATATCCGGTTGTGTCGGATTGTTAATTTCAGGGGCCGAAAATCCCGGGATTGACGTGTGTAACAGGACGATCCGACCTTTAAAGTAGTACAATCTTTAGTATTCTGGGCGTAAATGATTATGTTATCCATACATGTCAACAGAAATTGCGTTGAATCAGTCTATTTATGACATACAACACACAAGACTATAATGTCTTTACAAAAAGGTTTCAATTAGGCTGCCACCGGAACGCGCAAAGCTAAATTAAAGAGGCATTTTAGTATGGTAATAGCGATAGTAAATGTGTAGTCAGATTAGACTCGGTGCAACGATAATAATAATAATAATGTAAACATGGGGTCATATCAATTTAGATTTGTTTGCCCCAATATAAAAATAATAATAATTATTTTTCATTTACGTCTGATGGCGCAGTTTGTCAAATGTGGGAAAGTATATCAAACATGTGCGACTGTGTAGCAGTGATTTATTTCCCCGCTTCCCAAGCATACAATCCTCTCTTACTGATACTATACACCAAAAATGCGAGATAGATTTTGTGGGGAAGAAGGCTGGGTAAGCTTTATCGAGAAACCTGGCCACTTCTCCTGCTCATAGATATCTTACTTTTCATTTAATTCCATTCGGAACAGGGTCCCTGGCAACCGTTAAATGGCAAATTCAAATTCACAGACTGTTTTCGCGAATTGTGAGTAACTGATTCTATTGTTATTTCCACAGTTTGACCATCATTAATCCAGCGTTCTAATTATTTTCCAAGTGTTCTTGAAGCTGGCATTCCAACTGCCTTTGCTTTTTTAAGTTTATTATACATACTGGGACGTACCATCAGTCATATGCGAAAAGTTAAAAGACACGGCTTTAGCTTGCTTAATGGTGGAAATACTACTTCATACGGAACTATAAGTCAACAAACGGAAGATGATGAAGCTGATTCAAGTGACGATGAGAGTTCCGATGCTACAGACGATGATTCGGTGGAGCTTAAAGTGACCGTTTTTGACGCTCTTAGATTAGTCTTTGCTATCGGGATGATCGTTTTGTTTGTAGTTGAAACTACTTTGAAGTTACGCGATACGAATGAGAATAAACGTGGTCTGTATTGGGTGACGTGTTCTTGGATGCAGATAGCCGTATGGGTATGTTTCTGAAGCTATCAAATTTTGAACTATTCTTGATGAGCTTATTGCTAATTTGCCTATGCTGGTGAATTGATTATTTCAGACATACGCCAGCGTGTTAGCGGCTGCTAATCTGTTGTTTAAGGCGCGGAGCAACATATTACGGTTGCGAACAGTGCTCAATCTGCTGTATGGCATCAATTTTGCTGTGCTAATAATCGAACTGTCCTCGCTCTATTACGAATATGGACATGGGTTTATGAATAACCGTATGTTTACTGTAGCATCGTTTGCACTCAATTTTTGCTTGGTGTTTGTAGGTCTGTTGGAACCTAGAGAACATTACGAGGAATCTAGCGCGAAACCCGGTCAAGAGGTTAGTGAAAAACGAACGTTATGTTAAATGTTGTGACTCAATAATCGTGACAATGATCAATTTTTAGGATAGCCAGTTGTCTCCAGAAGTTTATGCTTCGATTTACTCGCAGTTTATGTTTTCTTGGGTCAATCCACTAATACGCAAAGGTTTCCGTTGCACATTAACCGACAAAGATGTTTATAGATTACCTAAATTTGTGACTGCCGAATATGCCAGCAAAATATTTAACAAGAACTACAAACATAGTATCACATGGTCTTTGCTCTATACGTTTAGAAAAGAGCTAGCTATTCAATTTGTTTATTCGATTGTATGGTCGATTGTCTCCGTCTTTGCGCCACCATATTTTTTGCAAAAGATACTTGTATTTGTTCAAGATTATCCTAATAACCATGGTGAAACCACAGAAACAGCCTATTGGTATGCGGTTGGATTACTGATGGGAAATATCATACCAAGTTTGGCCTTTCAGCAGGCCCTGTTCATTGGACGGCAATTGGGTATTCGAATTCAGGTACTTTAAACAATCGAATATCCATTGGAAATAATCTTCCGTTGATCAGTGCAAATTAAAGTCATTTGCATTATATACAGGCAATTCTAGTTGGAGAAATTTACAAAAAATCTTTAAGCAGACGCGATACGTCTGGTATTACTAATGACGAAGAGTCGAAAAATAAAACAGGAAAAATCACGGATTTGATGTCTGTTGACGCCCAGAAAGTATCAGAGATGTCGGCATACATTTTTTACGGTAATTAACATGTAAAGCCAATATAGTCTGTTTTCCCATGGTATTGATTACTAACAAGTTTTTCTGTTTTACCTAGTCTATTGTTACCCTCTGCAAGTCGGTATCTGTGCTTATTTGCTATACCAATTACTTGGCATATCCGCCCTCGTCGGTCTCGTAACGTTTGTTGTTGCATATCCAATGCTTGATCTTATCAATAAACGTTTCCGGGAAATACAAATTCGTCTCATGGCCGCCACTGACAAACGTATGGGAGTCACTAATGAGGTAAATTAATATATATTCTTTGCATTTGGCATCCTAGATATTATAACTGATATATCTTAATCATTATTCATAGCTTCTTCAAGCCATTAGAATCATCAAGTTTTTTGCTTGGGAATCGCGATTTAAGGAGAAAATTACTGATGCAAGAGAAACTGAATTGAAACATAATCGCACTAGATTCATGCAATGGATTTACATAGGAGGAGCATGGGAATTGCTTCCCATATTTCTAATGCTTTCTGTATTCTTTACATATACGAAATTGCTTGGAAATGTAAGTTATGTAAAGCTGTACATTTATCACCATCAGCATGCTAACAATATGTTGTAAAATTGTAGGACCTAACTGCACCAGTGGCGTTTACGGCTTTAGCACTATTTAGCACTCTCCGACATGCATTCGAAGAAGCACCGTCAATCATAGTAACATTTCTACAAGGTGCTTATCAATTATAGCTCTACGCCTATGCTAGTATTGTATATTGAATTAACTCAGCTCACTGTTGCCATTCATATAATAGCCAAAGTATCTTTGGGTCGTATAGAAAATTTCCTAGCGGAACAGGATGTCATTAAACATCGTCAAAAGAAGACCAAGATAGATGATACGCGTATTGGATTTGTCAATGCAACGTTCCAGTGGCCTGAAGCTAAACCTTCAGGCGAACAGTCTACCACTCAGTCTGAAGAGGCTACGAACCAATCTACCACTCAGTCTGAAGTGACTACGAACCAGCCCGAGGAACGCCATAAATTCGTATTGCGTGACTTAAACTTTACATTTCCACGTGGGCAATTAAGCATCATTTGCGGTGCGACAGGAGCTGGGAAGACTAGCGTTTTAATGGCTTTACTGGGTGAAATGGATTGTCTCGAAGGCGAAACTCTCTTGCCGCGTAAAAATATTCAAGTCGGTAGGGAGAACGGCGGTGCATTAAGTGGAATTGCATATGTTGCCCAGAAAGGTTTGCAGATAATTTATTTATATACATTGTATTGATAACAATTGGTCGAGATATTAAAAAATGTTATCGCTGCCATTATTAGCTTGGATTTTAAATCTAAGTATACGCGAGAATATCTTGTTCGGTCTCCCTTACGATGAAGACAGGTACAATAAAGTTATCAGAGCGTGTGCATTAGTCAGGGATCTGGAAATATTTGAACATGGTGATAAAACCGAAGTCGGAGAGAAAGGAATTACAGTGTCTGGTGGACAAAAACAACGTATTGCGCTGGCTAGAGCAGTTTATTCGCAAGCGGAAATAATAATCATGGATGATTGTTTGTCTGGTAATGTGCACACTTTTCCTCTGTGTTCATGTTGAAGTCTCAAGCAACACTTGCGAGCAAACACTAACTAACTCATACTATCTTTTAAAAGCTGTTGATGCACACACGGCTAGACATTTATATGACAATTGTCTAACTGGTGAATTAATGGAGAATCGTACGCGTATTCTAGTCACGCACCATGTTGGACTATGTCTTCGGGGCGCATCATTTGTTGTAGCAATGAAAGATGGTCAGCTGGCAAAATGCGGCACCCCCGAGGAAATGCTAGCATCCGGTATTCTTAATGATGCATCGTTCAAAGATGACGAAGGTGCTTATGCTGAAGCGGATGATATCAAGAAGCCAGCTTTACCATCATCGAATAAAGATAGTAAGCTGATGACTGAAGAGAAGAAAGCGGAAGGAATTGTTGAATGGGAGGTGTACAAGCTCTACTTTATAGCATCAGGGGGATTGCTGTTATGGGTGTTCTTGATGTTTCTGTTTTTGATAACTGAGGTGTTGCAAGTTGGACAAGGTGAGCTGGGATTCCGAACATGATGTTGATGAGAACAGACGTGTATACTGAATGTGGGAGCACGTTCGTATGCGCGGATATCCGTATATTTGCGGGGTCGACGTCCCAACAAGCGTGTTACAAGTATTCACCCCACTTAATTTTTTAATTTCAGATTGGTGGATTAAAGAATGGACCAGAGCATACGATGACATTCGAGACAAGATACATGTTTTCGTCTCAGCAACATTATCGCTATTTTCCTTTGCTCCTCAAACTCACATAGACTATCTACCTCCTCATTCACCTAACCATGGTTACCGATTTGCTGAAGAGAACAAAATTAATGACAGTTATTACTTGATTGTGTACGCACTCATTGGTGTAGCAACAACAATCTTAGCGACAGCAAGGTCATATACCATGTTTTCAGGCGCAATTATAGCATCTCGAAAACTGCATACAGCACTTCTTGATGAAGTGCTGAATGCCAAAATAAGATTCTTCGACACAACACCTGTTGGGCGCATCATGAACAGATTTTCGTCAGATATGGAAACTATAGATCGGAGTCTATCCCCTATTGCAATGTCCTTAATCTACGCTTGTATTGCTACGTCTACAGTTATAATTATCATATCTTGCATAATGCCCCAGTTCTTAATAGCGGGAATATTCATCGCCTGCTTATATATCTTTATTGGAGCTTATTATCTTGCAACCTCGCGTGACTTGAAGCGAATTGAGTCAGTTACGCGCTCTCCAATTTACACCCACTTTGGTGAGACCATTTGTGGAGTTACCACAATTAGAGCGTTTGGCGCCGAGAAACGATTTTGCGCCGAAAATCGTCTCAGAGTGGATAATAACAATCGACCATTCATATACAATTGGGCATGCAATAGATGGCTTCACACGAGAGTCGACATTGCCGGTGCCTTAGTCAGTTTTTGTACGGCCATCATCGTCACGATCCAACTGAGACACGGTATGGATCCCGGCCTGGCTGGATTCGCTCTTATTTACGCGCTGAATTTTACAGGACATGTTATATGGATTCTTCGATTGTATGCTTTGCAAGAGATGAACATGAATGCCGTGGAGAGGGTTAAGGAATATTTGGCACTTGACAGAGAACCAGCTAGAATTGTCGAAGGACACAGACCTCCAGCTGGTTGGCCAAGAGGTGAAATAAAAGTAGAGAAATTAGTTGTGCAGTATGCTTCGGAAGATCCGATCGTACTGAAAGAGGTGTCTTTTGAGGTTAAACAAGGAGAAAAAGTTGGTATCGTAGGGAGGACTGGTAAGTTAATAATCACGTGTACATATTTATATTAACTGTATGCAACTAATTATTATTATACTTAAATTCGATTCACATTCTAGGTTCCGGAAAGTCTACTCTTGCAGTTTCATTCTTTAGATTTATGGAAGCAACATCTGGACGCATTACTATCGATGGGATCGATATCGCTACTATAGGACTGTATGATCTAAGAAGCCGATTGACTCTTATACCTCAAGATCCTGTTCTTTTCAGTGGAACAATAAGGTTAGTATTAATATTTTTATTTTGACGTTTATTTATTACAATGTACCTTCTCTCATAAACCGCTTGTAAAAAAGGAGTAATTTGGACCCATTCAACGAATATGAGAATGCCGAACTCTGGAATGCTCTCCGCCGTGCTCATTTAATAGACGCTATTCCCACGGATCCGTCATCTTCTGTCAATGATGCACTCTCTCCTGATTCGACGACGCCGGATAACTCATCCCGTTCACAGTTCAACAACCTTGATGCTCCAGTCAGCGAAAATGGAAGCAACTTTTCTCAAGGACAACATCAGTTAATCGCTCTCGCTAGAGCACTTGTTCGTCGAAGCAAATTGATCATTATGGATGAAGCTACTGCGAGCGTTGATTTTTCCACCGATCGTATGATACAAACAACAATACGTGAAGAATTTAAAGAGTCAACCTTGTTATGCATCGCCCATCGACTGAGAACTGTTATAGATTATGACAAGATCTTAGTTTTAGGTAAGCCAACTTTAGCGGCAAAGTGTCGATATTTATACTTGAACTATCAATTGCATTATGTGTCTTGCTAATAATGCTTGTTCTCTGTACTTGTAGATGCAGGAAAGGTGGTAGAGTTTGATCATCCGCACGTATTACTGCAAAAGAGTGATTCCCTCCTCCGTGCCATGTGCGAAAGAAGTGGTGAATCCACCGAATTACAAGAACTTGCAAGAAAGAAGTTCGAACAAGATAACAAAAAGAACTGATAAAATGTAATTCTGATGAATTAACTTGTAGTCACATTCTTGGAAATGTGAATGTCATGAAACTTTGCTTCATATGACAACGCTGTGTATAATAATAAACTTGTGAATTTTCGGAATATTTGTGAACGTCTTACTTCACTAGACATATGGTTCAATCTTGCAACAAGTCGCGCAATATTCAACTGAGGAATGATTGGATTTTATGTAGAATGCTGTTTTTTCATAATCTATTAATATGACGACTGCTATTAATCCGCCGGTCTGCGTTATGCTGCCTGATCATCAAGAATTTGCACGAACTTTTGAACAATGCCCATACATTTGCTGTAAATTGTTCTTTTAGCAAATATCGAAAGATCAGCTTTTTAGAAATATGAATCTACTAGAACAATTATTATTATAAGCAACCAGTAAATGTTGTTACAAAACGATGAAACAAGAAAAATTATTATCGGTATCATCATTGGTCAGAGCTGTCTATGTTGATATAGTTAAGCAAATCCAAATACCATTGTCTTTATACATTTTCATTCATTATGAAAACACGTAACAAAGATGAAGAATAAGCATTATCATGATTATAATAAGAACAGAATAACTCTAAACCTGTAATTTACATAATTTTTTATATTAATTAAATGACAAAAGTCATTAATGTCGGGAAATATGACCCACAAAGTCTTACCTCGAGAAATTCTGTTAACACGTGCGGTACGGTAGATCGCGAGGAACTTTTATTCACAGCAAGGTGCTCGGTAAAGCCCAGTTTAAGCTGTTTATACGTGCGGTACGGTAGAACCTTCGTTTATTGTCGTAATCCGTTCCGTTCTTTTATTCCATCGAACTTACTGTCCCAAAAATTCCATTGTTGATTAATGAGGTCGAGTTTGCTTCGAAGAGATCGAATCTCGCGTCAAATTTCGCAAATTCTACTTTCGAGGCTTTCGTTCATGGCCTTGATTTCCTAAAAATCATCGAGATAGTACTGGTTGTGGCTAAGTCTTTTCCGACACTGCATATCTTTTGATACATAACTGTTGATCGTTTTTTAGAAAAATTACGCAGTCATCCATGTCCTCACTCGACTTCACTCAAAATTATCATGCGGATCACTGCTGGGAGAATGTGTTAGTACAAATATTTAGCGAACCGCAAATATTAAAGTGTAGAGACATTATTTCGGTTACTAAAGCCTATTTTAACAAGATCTCCGTTTCGCCAAAAGCTTCGTTAAAGCGGACTTTATTTCTGTAACGAATTTTGTAAGATTACGTGAACTTTGTTATGCATAATGAATGTGAATAAAAGTTCCTCGCGATAGTTATGCACAATGAAATCTAGTTGTGAAAATCAATATACAGTGTGTTACAAAAAAATTGGCCAAATGTAGACGCGATTTAAAACGCAACAACTTTTTACCTATGTAAACAAACACGTATAATACTAACTATATAAAAGCGGTACATTTTTTGTTGATAACATCCATGTTTGCATATATTAAAGCTTCGAACATGGCATCATTATATCTAGAAACACATCGTCGAACAATATCGATATTACACTTCTTAACGAGGGTGTGTGCAATGCACAAGAAATTCATACAACTCTCTACAATTAAATATAATATTAAAAAGTTGAAAGAAACGGGAACCTTAGCCCATAGAAAAGGAAACGAAAGCTTACACCAACCGCAGCAAGGATTTGTCCGTCAATTTATTCAAACAAATCCTACCGAGTCGTTGAGAAATTTATCTATAAAACTTTCTAAATATGATGTACGTTACAATCAAAAGGCATTTAGATGAACTGAGTTCTAAAAGTAGCCACAAATAATTTGTTTTTGTGATGATAATTGGAAACGTTCATTCTACTGTCAACAACGTCAAAGATACACTGGTATGAAATACTATTTTAATAAGTATATTACAAGCAATACAGTAACTCACCAATACTAATACCAAGGCCCCCTGTAATCTTGCACAGACAAACTTTGCTTGACAGTTTGTATGTTAAGGTTTGATAGAGAATAATAGTATTTCAGAATGGTTTTGGTTTATTTTGTAAGCATTCACAGAATTTCGAATGCGTGATTTATTAAACTGCCGTGTTGTGTAATTATACTTGCTATATGTAGTGATGTTTCATTATATAATATACCATCCATCAGAGTATCCTTTAATTTCCAATTTGCTTTCTTATCTTTTTCTTTTATTCATAAGGGATTGCAATTCGGATAAACCTAATCGATCTCGTTCGTTTCTTTAACAGGATCACGAATTAGTGATTATACCGGCGAGTAGAAAGTGTGTATATGCTTATCTTAGAGCATATAGTTCTCGATCACGTGTTCAAGTTTCGGTCTTTGCGCGTGGACATCAAGTCTGTATTGACTCGCGGGACATTGCTTATTCAACGAAGAATAAGTATGTTTGTCTGATGCACCACTTTACTCCATTGTATGTCAGTATATAATAAGATCGGAGAGTTAAAATGTCACGGGTCGTGCTATTGCTAGAGGCGAATAAAAGCGTGCTCAACCAGTACGCGTAGAAAACTCTTGATAATAATAACTTGTTATATCCATCGGCGTCAAAGACAAGATTGCAAAGCTTGCCACTATCGATCGACTATGCATCGAGTTTGCACTTTGCAACGTATTTCGTAAATCATTATCATATATCAGATAATTGCTGATGTTTAATACATTCAATCAGTCATATGAAAAAATAAGTCTAGCAAATATCAACAGAAAACATGTTCGTTTGAAATAGCTAAATGCTAAAACTTATCCACGAGATATAGTAGTTATGAATTATTCGGACGTTGAAATTGTATCTAAATAATATTCCCAAAAATTCACTAATAATTATTAATAGAAATAAATTATACTTACGCCAGATGTTTGCCATTACCAAGGACGCCTCAAGACTTATTGCCATCTGTTGACTGGTCTTGGTTAGACTCGAACGGAAGAAGAGTACCAAACAGCAAGTGTTGAACTATAGGAAATTTCTTGAGAACATCGGCAACATACATCTTCAATAACCCAGAATTAACCTTTTGCCATGATTGCACCCCCGAGATGTCATGGAGCATAGGCGAGTGCTCATGAAAAGGTCCTCTTTTTATCTATATTTAAAATAGACAGTTAACAAGCCTTATATACATAGCCCCCATGCCCAGTAGTGGATAATTACCTTGTTAATATGTTTAATGCATCCAAAATACATATAATCGTCAGCAAATATTTCTATAAACTCTTTATTGAGAATCGATTTGGGTTTGAGACGTTGGTGATCTGAAATATGTAAATTAATTCAGTCAATAAGATTGTTGTTATTTATAGAATACATATACCGTAATTTGCGGTACGAAGCTAACCTCTTAACTGAGCACTTCCCCAATAGTACGAGAGAAACTGATGATCATCTAGTCCCCACACGCCGTGGCTTCCAGCTGGTTCAAGATTGTAGACGGTTTGCAGTTTCCTCACAAGATCCAAGTATCTATGACAGTGTGTGTATCATATTATTAAAATTCACGAAAAAGGAAGACAGAGTTTAAAAATGTTGATCTTACTTTGTAAATATTCTCAAAACAAGAGCATGATAATCTTCTTGCGTAAAAACACCCAAAAGAGTAAGGCAACACAACCACGCAACAAAGTTCAGCTCATGACCACTACCGTAGTCAATGCGTATTCCATGACCAAAACTTCCGTTAAACAGTGGTACCAGTTCAACTATAGCATTATGCCACTGAGGTAAGAGGAGTTTATTATGTATCTCAACTGCATTCTGGATAATAAAATGGTTAAATCTCGGGCAGCTGATGAATCGTTTACTAAAAAGCTGCTAAGCAATAAACGATTGAATACATTCTCTAAGCGAGCAATCCAGTCACGAAATGCTTTGTTTCCAAACCGTTGCGGGGTTGGTAGTGGGGGGATCTCATCTATCCAATTCGATAACTGTTCCAGAATGTCCACGAGTTTCTGAGCTGTCTATGGTGAAGACAAAGTTAGTCATCGATAACTCATTCTTTTGCTAATTCACGTACTTTATTTACGGTCATAATCGAAAATGTAAAACCTCAGAAACGATGCATGGATCCGAGATCTTCTTGTTGAGAATGCTTTCATTTAGCAATTTGATAAACGTCAAAAATCGTGCAAATGCCTTAGAATCTACCCAAACGTCAATGTCACTATGCTGTTTGATCATCTTTCGAGGTTCTACAAAATTGTGCTCTGTTAATGAAAGCGGTGATGAGAAAATGCCTGCCATTTTTTAAACAGTCGATAAAGAACATGGTTTGTGATCGACATGGCCGATCACGAATATATATTAATTTCCGCCTGACAACTCCATTTGCGGAAAGTGCAAAAATTGAGCGTTCGTTAAATTCATCCAAAGCCCTCTTGGGAAGAAATCAAATAGTCCTTGTAGATCTACCAAAGATCGGAATGCCCCGAAAGTTTATTGATTTAATTTCGATAAAGTACGATAAGAAAAACTTTGACTTTTTTCACTCCAAGAATCTCCTACCCATTCAATATAATCGTTTGTTCTTTTTTCGGAGTTTGTGAGATGACAGGAATGTCGTTATTATTACTGTTGTATGATCATATCCTGCTTACGCTGAGATATCTATTCTACGCAAGCACGCTTAAAACGATCGGGATAGTGCACTTGTTATTACAGGAGATTGATTGCATGCAGCCCTTTTCCGGTAATCCGGGTTTTGATTTTGCCATATTAATATTAATATTGACTGTCATTTGTGTCACTTACCGATAGTCATAAATTAATGGAATAAACTTTAAACTCTTTGTCAGCATTTCATGTATTGAAACCTAATACGAAGGAGACAAAAAGCAAAACCAACATTCATCGATTGTAAATACAAGTTTGAAGCGTCTCTTTTCCAACCGGATTTTACCAATAGAGTTGATATTAGGATTGTATCAAATACGATAATGGGAGAAATAAATTTCCTGTTGTGGTTGACAAAGCACGTTTCTAAATCTCATGCTACTGTCGTCCAATGATTGGAATTCATGTGACTAAAATGAAAGACGACATTGGATCATTGTAATTTGAGTTGCAGCCGATCAGTATCAAATCTAGTCACCACATCCTCATTTACAGAATTCTTATTGTATACGACTACTATTTTTACTCTGAATCATTATCGCTTCTGATACATGATCGTCTGCATCAATATTTTACAAATTACTCCGTTTAGTGACACGAATTAACGGAGGCATGATGCGTCGTGGACCACTTGTATTTATTCTTGATCACAATGCGCTTGTCGATCATCTTTATCATACATAAATAATAAAACTTTTCCTCTTCAAACATGTTTTCTTAAACATTGTTCTCGAACAAAACTTATCATTTTGCCCTTCCTGAATTTTAAAATTTGTATTGGTCTTTCCTCGATGGAATCAATTCTCAAAACCTCTAGGAAGGCTTGTCCGTTCTTATATCGTACTTCCGCCGCTACTCTCCGTAATCTTTCCCGCACTCCAGCCCCAGTTGCTGATGGCGGCAACAGCTTATTGTCAATGGCGAAGAAATGCCCAGTAATGGGTAAAGCTATGGCAGTTCAAAGTAGACGGTACCTTCACAGCAGTGCTTCGATGGCTCAGCAGCCGACTTTGAAATTAAATCATGCGAGCATTGTGAATGACGCTAGTAGACTTCCTGCTGCCATTCCTGCTACCGTTCCTGCTACCGTTCCCACAGAAACCAAGAAAGAAGGAAGCGAAGGTAAGAGAAAAATATTTATGGGATTAGATATTGTCATCCGACAATTTGTTTCCCTCAACACTGTAAAAACCAGATTTGATTCAATTTTATACTAACATCGATCCAACAATTAATCCAACAGGCGTTTGTCCCTTCCATCACCCTCCAGTAACTCATAAGACCAACTCTCAATCTTTCGATTACGAAGGATTATATCAAGAAGAGCTTGATAAAAAGCACAAGGATAAAAGCTATCGTTACTTTAACAATATCAATAGGCTTGCTCAGAAGTTTCCTAGAGCGCATACTGCCAATGCTAACGAGGAAGTCACTGTCTGGTGCAGCAATGATTATCTTGGAATGGGAAGAAACCCTATTGTCCTGGAAACTATGAAGTAAGCAAGCATTGAGGAGAATTTTTTTATTTCAATTATATGTATTTTTTTTGTCCTTCAATTATTATCCTGTCAAATCAACCGCCTAATCTTTTGTCACGTATTTCCCCTGAATTCTTTCCTTGGCTCTTCCATTCGCAGACAAACTCTTACTAAATACGGTGCAGGTGCGGGTGGTACGCGTAACATAGCTGGCAATGCCAGCCTCCATTTGCAACTCGAGGCTGAATTGGCGGATCTTCATCACAAGGCCTCCGCTCTAGTCTTTACCTCTTGCTACGTGGCCAACGATGCTACTCTTTCTACTCTTGCTTCCAAACTCCCAAATTGTGTCATCTTGTCCGATGCGCTTAATCACGCATCGATGATTCAAGGTATTCGTCATTCCGGAGCCAAGAAATTAATCTTCAAGCATAACGATCTTAAGGATCTCGAAGAAAAATTACAAACTGTACCGATTAGTACTCCAAAGATTGTCGTCTTCGAAAGCGTTTACTCTATGAGTGGTACTGTAGGGCAAATTGAACAGATTTGTAATTTAGCAAAGAAATACGGTGCAATTACGTTTCTTGACGAGGTCCATGCTGTAGGAATGTATGGACCAAGAGGAGCTGGAGTGGCTGAGCACTTAGACTATGAGTTAAATGCTAGACATCCTTATGGTGGTAATGGAAGCATTTTGGATAAAGTAGATATTATCTCTGGCACCCTAGGAAAGGCGTATGGTGTTGTTGGTGGGTACATTGCCGGGTCTGCGCGGTTGGTAGATATGATTCGATCGTATGCGCCAGGTTTTATCTTTACCACGTCATTACCACCCGCCGTTGCGGCCGGTGCTAAGGCTTCTATCAACTATCTTAAGCAATCCACGAAAGAGAGGGAGATGCAACAGTTAAATACTCGTTCTCTTAAGGCTAAATTAACTGATATTGATATTCCTGTTGTGCCTAATCCTTCCCATATTGTTCCTGTACTTGTCGGTGATGCTGAACGTTGTAAACTTGCTTCCGACCAGTTGTTGCGAGATTATGGCATATATGTTCAGAGTATCAATTATCCTACCGTTCCTCGTGGACAGGAACGTCTTCGGATTACCCCGACACCGGGTCATACCCCCGAGATGGCCGATTATTTGGTAGGCGTTCTGGAGGCCATTTGGAGTAGTAATGGATTAAAACGCGTCAAAGATTGGGAAGCCGAAGGGGGATGCGCTGGTGTGGGTACTGGTGATCCTAAACCTGCGCCTATCTGGACTGACGAGCAATTGAGATTGGTACACGGAAATCTTGTCGAGGAAAGTGTTACCAGTACTAGTGTATTAGCACATTAGCACAAATGCGACGGTAATTGTGACAGAGCTTCTTAGTGGAGATGAAGTATTTATTGCAGTTGTTTCGTCAAGCTAAAATTTGATCCAACTAATAAATCTAATAAAGATTCAGTTGAGCTTAAGAAGAACGTTATAAAACAAGGCCGACTTTTTTAACGCGCTGTTAAAGATCTTTTTGGCCAAAGATACCTCTTATTATTGAAATTATTATGTTGGCAGAGGCGAAATTAATATCGTCCATGTCGCGGGCCGACTGTTTAGAGTAGATACCATTTAGTAAATGCTTGTAAATTATACATAGAGCATATGCTGTTACCTTACCAAATTTTTCCTAATGTCTATACACTTTCTGCAAAGTTCTCTCAGCAATGAAGTCTGATTAGGAGTCAGCAGTTTGTCTACTCTCAGCAGAAGCGCAAAAATCCATTGTGATTGTGCTTTAGAGATCTCGTTATCAGAAAGCCATTCAGTATGATATGATATTAGAGAAAGAGTTGTTTGCTGATTTTGCACACGTTACATACATTAGCTTTTGATATATATTGTTTGAGAACATCAGTGAACATTATTAAGTTCTACATACCAACCTGATCTACCTTCGAGATTATTGAAAGGGTGGGGACTGTCCCCGCGGATCCGTAACAAAACTTGTACCAAGCAGTCTTGTTCCTGTGTTTAGGCATTTCTAACGTCTCGGCTGCTTGGTTAATATTGGATGCTTGCTTATCAATCCACCTGCGTAGCTTCTTTATCACAATAACCAATTAATAATTAAGCCATGCCGTATGTTGAACCATCGTCTAGCACAAACACTGACTTGTCTCATGCCCTCAAACCCGTCCAAAAACTTTATTTCCCATTCTTTATTGGGCATCAATTTATCTACAGTATTTTCTTCTTTCTTCATCTCAGCCCAGCCTCTCTTCACCCATCCTGCTATCTTATCGTCTGATTGTTTATTTGCTGGCGAGGGCGCAATTTTAACTGCTGGTATTTTGTTTGCTTCTTCGTTAACCAGGCGCAAATACTCCTCTCCATTAGCTGGCGGTCGTGTGTTTAGTGAACCAAAAGGTTTGTTTGAAGTAGGAAAAGCTCTACTCACGATAAAGTCGTCTTCTTCAACTGAAGAGCTTCTCATTAGAGTTGATCATTTAAACAAACAAGCTTAAAATTGAAATCTCATTTAAAATCTCATATCACGTGATTAAAGTAATTGATACCTGTCCTATTAATAATAACGGATGGCCAGACCCAGTCATTTGCGTCTGAGTTTGTTGTTGTTGTGTTGTGGGTATTGCTGATGCGGACGCCGAAGTCGTTCCAGATGCTAGAGACGATTCTTGAAGCGATC